ATAATGAAGGGAGGACATAGAGAAAAAGGAAAAGCAAACTGATCAAACAACTGCTTGCTACCTGTAAATCAGTGGCTTATTCCTCATTTCCTCTGAAGTTCCCAAAGACTTGAATAACTGTTAGCCTAACTGTGGATATTACTATGGCCTGGAGAGCCACAGAGATGTGGACCAACATCCCAGAATCACAAAAGAAGACAAATGGGGACTGCCAGAAGGATTTGTTCACATGGGAAATGTTAGACATGGAGCGTGTTATCACATAAAACAATTGAAAACAGATAATTGAGAGAAAGATGTGCCTATATTTGTTTCACAAGAAAGTCAGTCACAGATGCATTATAGAAACAGAAATTACAAACATAAAATAAGCATGACTACATAATTAAATACCTAGTTAAAATATATTTTTTTCCTTAATTTTCCATCTGATTAAAATTTCCCACCTAAGGCTTCCAGACTTACAGGACTTTGATTTTGGCAATACATTACAATTCTGGTAGACAGCCAGAGTTTTATGTTTATCCTTTAGTCCTTTGGTCTCTTCTTTATGTATCTCTCATTTTGCAATATTTTTTTCCTTCAGTCACAGAACAAACGTAAACAACTAAAATTACTTCTGGAGTACAGAAGCATAAAATACTCTATTTCAGTTCCTAACAACAAATTAGAATTCTTGCAGATTCTTACTTTCTTCAAATGATTAGATTTGGGTAAACATTTGTCTGTAAGCAGGATATACTTATGTATTTTATTTTGTCCTACTGTGAAACTACAGAGATCCCTTATGACATCCAAACAAAATTAATAAAAATAAACATATAAAAATGTCATTTTAAAGTTAAATGCCATTTAGACCATTGACACGTACTGCTGACATTTTCTAAAATATTTACTTACCAGTGATAATGAACTCAGTACTCTGTACATTCCAAACCCATCTCCAAAACCTCAAAGACTGTATTAACAGAGCAGTTAAGGACATAGCAGACTTTACTGGAGCTTTAAATGATGAGATACATCATTAAAGCTTTGTCAGCTCCTAGCCTACCTTAAAAAAAGGTTATCACATCTGCAGCATTTATCTGTTTCTTTTCCTGAGAAACTTAGTAGAACTAATAATTGATCAATTTGAAATCCTTATTACTATACTTATTTACTGTTACTTATAATTACAAGTAGTAACTCATGACATGCATCTTGTCTGAACAATCTTTTTAATGTCTACTGTCAATACTCAGTCTTATATCTCACATAGATTCACCTTATCTTACATTACATATCTTGCATTAGATTAATCAGAACTAAATTCAAAAGTGGCTTCTCCATGTCCTCATATTTTGATTAATTTCATCTTTCACTATATAACCACTAAACATTGTTTTACTTCTGAATTGGCAGCTGCACATTTTAAACCCAAAGAAATCTATAGTAGATTTAAATTTCAGTGTTAACTGAAATTCCTAAATGTCTTTGCCCCCCCACAAATAACCCTCCTGTAAAACTGTGCAACTTAGAGACGTGATTCACTTTTTAGCAACTTGTATCAAAAATTCACGTTGAAGTAAAAAATTAATCCTGGTAAACAGATGTGCATTTTAATATATAATATGTCCACTATAATCAGTAAGTCTAATCATTTCGACAGATTTTTAACCTGATCCACTACTTTCAACATTCCTCCACCCTTCCTGTCCCGAATTCTGCTACAAAGCCTAATGTTACTGAATGCCAAGACCTTATTCTAAGCCATCTACTTACACTTTTTTTTTTTTTCTCAGAGAACACTTTTTTTCTCAACTGCTAAGAAATTCTACATCATTAATAAATATGCAGCAATGGATGTACGTATTAGGTGTGTTTTTCATATATTGAAAAAAGTATGATAAAAATATATGCTAGAAATAGTCTGGAAATAATTTTATCAGCATTTGCCTGCTTCTGATTTGGCACAGATATACAATGTGTGAATGTTTTATAGAGACTTTAAACAGTTCAGTGTGTGACATTCTCCATTCCCTCTTTTTCAATCAAATCTGTTGATTCCTTTTGGTGACCTAGTTATTATACCTCTTTGGACCAATATGTTACCGCAGTCATGCAGTCAAAAGGTGAAAAAAAAAGGACAAAAAAAAACAAACACACACAAAACAAGCAAACAAACAACAATAGCAAACACACAAAAGCTACAATTGTCGCTTCAGACTCATGCTGTGCTTTAGGTGCTTACTTCAAACTAATCAGAAAAAAAATATTGAGGGAAATGTAGCAGGTCAGAAAGAGACCACATAACTACAGAAAGTCAGATAAGCTCTGATCCTTTATAGGTATTCCTCATCACAGCATTTATATATTTTTTTTTCCTGCTAAAGATGGTTTTGCAGCTTGTTTTGACATCTACACATCATGGAACTTTCAATTTTTCTAACTAAATTTTTAGTCATCTGATTAGTTTCCTTAAAAGTTGTACAGTTTTGAAAGCTTTCCCTCTTTCAGTGAACAATTCCCATTAGACAGTAGTATTGCTGTGATGTATTTTGAAACACCTTTCATTGTGTCCTATGCAAGCTAATGAAAATACCGATAACAGTAGCAAGTGATGCCTAAAATACACTACAAACACAGCATCTTTTGAGCTGCTGCAGACTGTCTACATCCATGCTAGAGTCCTGACTCAGCACTAACCCTCTTTTGCATAATACCTACATGACATGCTGAACTGTTAGCTGTGCACTACAGCCCCAGTAATTTCATGGTCATTAGGAAAGAGTGCTAAGTGCTTTGCTGAATGGGAATGGACTGAAGCAGATAGATGTTTTAGTGCAATACAGCCCATTTTCACATTATTTTGCTTTAGATTACCTTGATCCACATTTAAATTCACGTGCCTCTCTGTATTAGCTGTCATCATGGACCAGCAAACATAAAGTAGATGAGTGGAAGTTGTACCACTGCTAGGGTGAGACCAGAGGTCCACTAGAAACTTCCTAGGGACTTCAGATAGCATGCCAGCTACAGGATGCTGGTTGGTGCTTAAAGAGCTTCTGCCCAGAGGGACAGCCATGCTGAGTGATAGAAATGTGCCTGGTCTCAAGAGCCATGTGGCAACTGGCTACCCATCCTTTCAATCCCCTAAAGAAAAAGCAGGCCCTAATTTTTCCTCATTTGTGTGTAAAGTGAGAAGAACTGTAAAGCCAGACGAAGAAAGTGAAAGGGCCACATATTCTTTCTTTCTTTTTTTTTTTTTTTTTAATTTAATGTAACTCTTACTTGTCTCTGCCATATACTTTGATAACTTGACTGAACAGAAAAGTTATCCAAGGTTTTAGTTCTGCATGCTGCCCCTTTGAAAGCTTGGTGGAAAGCCTTGGCATCTTATTGAAGATCCAGGACCTTTGGCTACTTTTCATGGAGTATCTGAATACAGGAATTCCACGTTGTCTTCTTCTTTCCCCAATCTGCCATGTGTGCACATTACAAGGCATATAGTGTCAGATGACATATGTTGCCCCTGTTATCGTTACATTAAATGGAGTCACCCACCACGGCTGGGACTTGAGACTTCCTCACAAGCACTTTACGTTAAAATTAGATTTCTCAAGCACATCTAAGAAGGAAATTTTCTGTACCCTTTCACTTGGGCATTCCAAGTACTTTTTCATGTCTACTCAAAGGACAAGAGCACATTTGTACCTCTCAAATGCATCTCTATGATTTCTTATGGAAATTATCAGTCCCCTTGACTTTAATCATTTTGTTTCTCATTCTTAACATAAAATTTCAGTCAACATTCTGCTTGCTTACTCCCATGCCAATATCTTCTGGCAGCATGTACTCAGTTTAACAACAGGCTTGGTTCTGTTCCATTGGATTATTTTAAAAAATGTTCTGATGAAAAAAGCAGCTGTGTTTAAATAGCTATGACGTCCAATCAGACAATTTAAGGGTTTTGGCTGTTTTTTCCTCTTACAACCCCTTATCAGGCAAATATACACATACACATGGACAGTATTCAAAGGGAAGTTAGCAATGCGTTGGTGCTTAAAGTTCATGATCTGCCAAACACATTACTGTACGTGCATTATTGTTGCTATATATTTCCAGCCAGCCTTATTCAAGGTACCAAATAGTTCAACTTAACACTAGTCACATAAGATATGCATTGATTATTTCTTTTAAATATGACCACTTAGAACTTTTACAAAGATATGTATATATAATAGTACTTGTCAACAATTTACTGTAAAAGCAGCCAGGTGGCTGATAAACTGCCAGCTATCTTTCTTCCATGTGCTAAATTATTGCTACATATTTTTGGAGATCCTAACAACAGTGCTGGAGAAAGGACATCAAATGATGCTTAGAAATGTGATACACATTTTCATTTCACACTCCATCAGGTTTTACAACTTGAGCTCCGTGAAATGTATGAGAATACTTGGCTAACAGCCACCTCTACTGAGGTGTAAAATAAGGATCAGATATCTTTTAAAAAGAGTTACATTTTCTTTACATGACTAGATCAAATGTTGACCTTTTTCCAAAATATACTGTAAATATTCAGTACCTATCAAAGAATTTTGAATCTCTGGACACAGGTTTGAACTATTTTAACAGACACATAATCAATACAAATTTTTTAGAAACAGCCTTGTAACAGAAAACAAACAGATTCATCTTTCCACTAAACTAGAACTGAAACACATTGAATTATATAATCACTGGTGTTAAATCTTTTCCATTCTAATAGTTCTTTCTCATCTTGCACCATGGAACAAGAAACAAGCATATTATTGCCTTTACAGTCAGCAAAGTAAAGCTACGGGCATCAGCAAAAGCATCTTTTAAATTCAGATTTCAATCTGTCAGAAAAGATTAAAGCTTCATACATACATAAAAGGGGAACTATAAAATGATAACAGATACATAGCCTGAAATCATTATGCTTGAACAGCTGCTGTTTTACCAGCGTAGTAAAGCAGAAAATGCCTTTTACTCACCTCTGTTAAGCCAGAAACTTCTCCTTTTGCTAATGGTCTTGTGATGGATGCAGTATAAACTCTGGCATCTGACACTGGTTGCCCCTTCATAAAATGTTTCCCAGCTTCATAAATATTCACTTCTACCATCTTACCCATTAACACAGGATCCTTTGGCACGAGAACCTTTCAAATAAAGATAAAGATATGGTCACTAAATATCATAAAGGACATCAGTGTCTCCAGCTTCCACTCAGAAAATAGATATTTTGGTAGGTATCTCTATCTGGCCTTCTTCAAGAGCTTCAATTTACTTTTGTTGTTTTTGTTTGACTGATAAGAAAGTTGAGCCTGACTCGCAACATTTGAACCTAGACCCACATTGTTTCCAAGAGCACTTGTACTACAGAACTCTAGTAGACTGCTATAAAGGCGTTTTATTTTTTCTTTTACTACCCCACAGTATTTTTTTTTGTTTTGTTTTAACTTTCCAGTCTGTAAGTGCCTCAGGACAGAAATTATGCCCTTGCTTCTATTTGCTCAAGTCCTTGTTTTGATTGTGCACATCCTTTGCATCTGAGATGCATGACTGGCAATGAATGTCTCTAAAAATGGAAGGGTATGTTTGTTGTATCAGCAATAAATGCCACTCTACCCTGAATTTGAACAACCATGGTATCAGACAGTCCCATGAGAACTTCACAAAAAAGACACCACATAACAGATTTTCATTGGTCACACATGCTATAAATGAAAGAGCCCCATGTACAGAAGCAATATTCCTTGCTGGAAGAACAAATCACATAAAAAGAGTCTAAAAATAGAGAAGCAGTCGAAAAGGAAAAGTGGTGTTCCCCATTTAAACATCAATAAAAGATTGAATTACAGACTTACTTAATCACATTTATTTAAAGCTCATCTACAAACAAATCTACAAGCTTTTCAGAGGTAATAAGCACACACATATTCCTTGATTTTTGTAGATCAAAATTGAAAATGAATCAGCATAGCCTGATTTTAAAGGACACGGAGAGAAAAACTGTGCCAACCACATTTGGAGAGCAGTTTGTTGCCAAACAGTGCCTCTCCAGTTTCAGCTATCGCAAGCACTAGTTGTCCTGCTCAGAGGAAATCACTACCAATAATTCCCCTTATTCCCCAAAGGCTCAAGGTGTTCATGACTGCTGGAGTTTCCAGATTCTATTAATTCTGCTGAAATTCCAAAGCACCTTCCAAGAAAAGCAGACAGCTTTGCCTTTCAGAGACGAGAAAGCTGGAGCTAACTAGACAACAGTGGCAAACATTAAGCCAGGATCCTAGTGCTGAGACAGCATTAAAACACAACTAGATCACAGTTCTTCCCATACATATATTTTTTGGGGCAAAGCAAAACTAGGTAAATAAGTATCCCTGAGTCTGGAACCTCTGTAGATTTTGGTATTCCCATACAGGAAACAGCAAAAACTAAACATATATCCTCAGGGACAGATGTGGATAAGTGACTAGTACTTCAGAAAAAGAATGACTTAAATGAAAATATCTGGGAGGTATTGTAAACAACCAAGAAGTCAGGCTTACATTCATACAAAAAAAATAAAAATCTAAGAGACAAAGTTATACCAACAGAAACTGTCATCTTGACTGTTGTTTTGGCAAAGTATCTTTTGGTCAGTTTAGACTTCTCTGTTTAATGAACTAATTTAAACTATGTCACCAAAGCTATGGACAAAGCTACCAGGAGGTCTGTTAGTGTACCTCCATAAATGTGGCTTTAATAGCAAACTCTTTTAATACAGACAAGCTTAGTGAAGAGATGATAATAATATGTTTAATAACTATTTGAATTATCAGAACATTATACCACAACCACACACTTCAGCTTCCAAACGTGGTATTTTACCTCAGGGGTCAGTGTTGAGGCCCATCCTCTTTAATATATTTATTGATGATTTGGATGAGGGAATTGAGCGCGCCCTCGGTACGTTTGCACACAACACCAAGCTGGGGGTGAAATGTCAATGTTCTTTAGAAAGGCCCTGCAGAGGCAACTGTACAGGATGGGTCGATGGGTAGAGGCCAATGGGATGAGGTTCAACATGGCTAAGTGCCAGGTCCTACACTTTGACCAAAATAACCCAACAGGCTTAGGGAAGAGTGGCTGGAAAGCTGTGCAGAGGAAAAGCATCTGGGGGTGTTGGTTGATGCTTGCCTGAACATAAGCTGGCAGTGTGTCCAGGTGGCCAAGAAGGCCAACAGCATCCTGGCTTGTATCAAGAATAGTGTAGCCAGCAGGACCAGGGAGGTGATCGTCACCATGTATTCTGCTCTTGTGAGGCCACACCTTGACTACTGTGTTCAGTTTTGGGCCCCTCACTGCAAGAAGGACATCAAGGCCCTGGAGCACGTCCAGAGAAGGGCTACGAAGCTGATGAAGGGCCTGGAACACAAGTCTTGTGGGGAGCTGCTGAGGGAACTGGGGTTGTTTAGTCTGGGGAAGAGGCTCAGGGGAGACCTGAGTGCTCTCTGCAATTACCTGAAAGGAAGGTGTGGGGAGCTGGGGGTCAGCCTCTTCTCGCAGATTAGTAGCGATAGGACTAGAGTGAATGGCCTCGAGTTGCACCACGGGAGGGTTAGTTTGGAAATTAGGAGAAACTCCTTCTCAGAAAGAGTGGTTAGGCATTGGAACGCATTGCTCAGGTGGAGTCACCATCCCTGGGGGTGTTCAAGGAAAGACTGGAGCTGGTGCTTAGGGTCATGGTTTAGTGGGTGATAGCGGTGGTAGGGGAACGGTTGGACCAGATGACCTTGAAGGCCTCTTCCAACCTTAATAATTCTATAATTCTATGATACTGTGATATTTCATGACTCAAGAGTGGCTGGTTTCATATCTACTGTCACTCAGTTTACTATTATTAGAGTCAGCCACTAGCACCAAGTCTTGTGCTTACCTTGGTGAACAACACTGTAGTGCCCTTGTCAAATATATAAGATTTTAGGGAAAAGATACACAAATAAATAATGGAAAGTATTTTTGTTCATAATCAAGTTTACTATTACTAAGCATGGTATTATTTGTATTTACTTTATTCTTTACTAGTCCCAGTCAGGACCTGTATTAGGTACGGGCTATACAAACACACCATAAAACATCAACAATTTTTCACATATTACTTTCCCTTTAATTAAAGGAATTTCCATGAAACAAACATTAAATTCTGAAAAGCCCCAAGCATTATTTTCAATCTATATGTATAGAGCCACGTTCCTCAAATCTGACTGATAAGGTATAAAAGTGAGGAACAGTGGTGTACAAGACTTAGATAGAGGTTAGAGGTACAAGAAAAGAAAAATAATTTCAAAAGCTGTAATAGTATTTAACACTAACCAAAACCAAACAAATAAATGCTCTAATGAAATATGGAACCAGAACAAAGCACTAGTGCTGACTATATAACCACAAACATCATTCTCCAGACAGGACAACTGAATAACTAAAAGTGGCAAAAACAAACTCAGTGCAAGAAAATCGAGAAGAAGCCAACTGTAAAAACAAAATGAAATACAGATGATTCAGAAAAGCCAATTTTACTTTTTCATCTGCTTTTGAGTAAAAATAATAAATTTGTGAAACAGATACCATACTTCCTTCCTAACTCGTAAAGATGGTGTTTCTGTGTGGAAAGAATTCATTTACAGAAAGTACATAGAAGAAAATAAAACTTATCAGGCTGAACTGTTAAATTAAACATGAGTTTCTCATCTTTCCTATTGTTTGAATTTTTTTTTAATTGCATTGTATGAAAGAATTTTCTGAAAGATGTATGAAAATTGTAAAGATTAAACTATTGAGAAAACAATGATTCTGAGACTCAAATTAAAATTACTGTAATAATTAACAGCTTCTTCAACCATTTAGATAATATTCTTTGGATATAGAGCATATATCCTCCTCATACTGTATAGTAAAAGACTTACTGTGCATGCTAACATAATTTCAAGTAAATTGTATTTAGAACACACAAAGAAACAAAATATCTCATAAACATGTCTTGATGGTCACACCTTTCTTGGAAACGGTTTATTTCTTTACTTTTTTTTTTTTTTTTCTCCACTGTGTTGTGCTGTGTTGCTGAGATTATCAGAAAGCAAAGATAGCACAAAGAGATGTTATTTTGTTTATTTTTGTTTATTTACCTGTTCATAGAATGGATTGTGAGCAACATAGTAATTGGAATCAAAGGATTCTTCTGTTACCAGAACCCTCTGCCTCTCACCAACCTGGAAAATAAAAGACAAAAGTGATGACTCAGAAAACAAAAACAGTGAATTGCATTCAGAAGAGAGCTTTAACCATAAACAAACACACTTAGCAGAAATAATCAAATTATCTCAGGAAATTTTGTGTCAGCAAGAAACCATGGCAGAGAAAGCCCTTGCTCAAACTATCCACAGGGGTAAAGGTCAGAACTGAGAGCTGAAACTGCAGTACTGTAATGGTTTGACATGAATATCCAGTTCATAAATGTAAATTTATTTTTACATGTTAACACAATAACAAATCAAAATGTCAGATCTGCACAGGGTCCAATTACTGCATCATCCAACTAACGAGAAAACTCCCCCTCAGAATAAAATTCTGCTGTCAACCACAAAAAGTTAACACCCCCTAGCTCCCCAACAACATTACGGCAAATAAAACATTTAGAAGGATCTGAGAGAAACAGGGAACTGTAACACGTAGCTTGATGTTATCTAGAAGCTTAGCAAAGCTATTTGCTATTTTTAAAGAAGCTGCCCTTGTTATTTACAGTGATTGAGCATCTCTACAGCCCTTCTTGGTAATGTCACTATGCTATACTCAAGACATCACATTGTAGACAACACTGCAAGTTACAAAGACTCAATGAAGAAAAAAGTTCTTAACTACTCACAGAGTAATATTAAAGGCAAAATAATCTCTGGGCCAAAAAGTACACTATTTCAATTACATGTCCAGCATCCAAATACATTAGCGCAGTTTAAAGAAAGCACCAATTCCATTTCACAATTAGTTAAATGGAAGACCACATGACAAGTCAGGTGTACTTAGTTGCCACCTAAGTATTAGTCAAAATCTGGCCTTGCCCAAACTTCAAAATCATCCGCACAACTCCTTTTGATTTTGTCCATTATTAAGTTACATAATGCTGTTTGTATCTAAATTTCTGCAAACCCTGGAGGGACATCCAGCTCGCATTGTTAGTCTGAGCCGATCTCTAGTTTTCTTTATCTAAATATACCCTGGATTCTTTCCAACCTACTTGAAAAATGTATTCTACAAATTACAACTGTCTAGCAAGCTAAATTTACTTACTGCTTTTACTACTGTTGCTATCTCGAGAACCAAAAATGATTTCACATTTTACTCCAAACTTTTTACTCCAATCTGTGAGCAAAGACGCATTCAAAATTTTTACAACTTTCTCTAATGACTAATCACGGAAAAAAGAACAGGTGAAAACAAGAACAAGGACACATATGCATTGCAGTGTATATAGTATTTATACTATACATAGTCCGGGTTCCACATAGCCAAGAAGGACATCATGCTCCCTCTTCCCTATGCAGGTACCTGGGATATTCCCAATACAAACCCCGGAAAGAAGAGGAGACAGCACCCAGGTCACCTCCCAGATGTAAATTGCTGGGACCACAAGTGTGGGGTACACAGCAAAAGGGGAACAAGTCCCAAGTTACAGACCCAGCATAAAAATCCTAATAGTAGAAAAGATGAATTTCTGAATACTTTAAAATAGTTTAAAATACTTTAAAAAGTTGTTTAAGAGTTGTTTATAGCACACTTAAAATTTCTATCTACATTCCTCTGAGAAGTCTGTAGTTACAAGTAACAACAGATACCACATATTCAAATTTTAGTAACCTAAATCATCTGTAACCATTTACCATTCCCCTGAACACTAAGGTATTCTTTTCTTCCAAGAAAGCAGTTATTTAATTCAAATCCTCAAAGGAGTTTTTCAAATACTTGTCAAGAAGGTGCTGGAGATAACCACGTCAGTAAGATTACATTTTCCCTGAATGGAGAGGTTTTGTTGTTTCTATGCTATTTCAGACCATAGCCTTCAAAATCACAATGCAGTATGGTGGTGTAGTGCTACAGCAGGATGTCATGCAATGTTATGAAAAAGAGGAGGAGGAAACGTTAGATAAGTGATACTGACCCTTGAGGAAATATGTTACCACTGGAAAACACCAAAACCAATCAAGCAGTCATGTCCTTGAGTTGCATTTATTATTTACTGGTATCATAACTTAACAAAACCAGCTCAAAGCAATACTGGGCCTGTAACTCATTTCACAATTGTCTTGTGGTTCCCTGGCTTTCTCCAGACATAATGTTCTGCCTTTATCGTCCCTATGAATCCTGCCTGTGAGGTACTCTAAGCTACATGTGTTATCTCCATACTCTCAGATGACCGTGTCAAGTACAGTATTTAAAAAAAAAAAAAAGAAAAAAAAAAGAAAAAAATCAAAGGGAAGAAGAAAAGAACACCTGTGTTTGATCATTTGCTATAGGCAGTGATTTCTTCAAAGACACATTGCCAGTTTTTCTTTGCTTCCATGAGCAAATGGAGCACAGGTCCCTGTGTCTCAGCAGGCTAAACAGAGAACTTCTGCGCTCAGAATTTCTTGGGAATGGGAAGAAAACAGGAAGACTGAATTCATCACATAGCATCAAAATTGTGGCACTAAAATTGAGTACAAGAGGTGCAGAGGAGCAGAACAGCCTACACCAAATTATAGTATATACAGTCATACATATAGTCACACCTACAAGACAAAGAGGCTATATTGTGAGGAGTACAAGGCAAACCCAATATTGTTCACTTTCTCATGTTACTGGATTTGTAGCTCTGGCCAAGGCTGATCTCAGAAAGAAAGACAATATTCAGATATTTGTGCAGACTCTCTTGCCATAACAATAGAAAAGGACAATTTTATTTAATGAGTTAGGCTATTGGGTATTTATGATCTGCAACACTAATTGGCTACACACTCTGTAAGACAGAAAATGACTATCTCTCCTGCATCCAAATATAATTAAGAAAGAAATATAAGTAGGCAGAATGCAGCTTTGGTATTGAAATTTGTTCAAGAAGTGAAATATATGTCATCATTTCTGCAATTATTCCCCTGGGATCTCTAAATGCTTAAGTTTCACCTCTCTCAGAAAGAATTTACATATGCAGAAACCAGACATGATATCTAATAACAGTCATAATTATAATAACCTTTGATGATTTTTTTCAGGCATGTACCAGCAAAAGTAGTTCAGTATCTTATTTTTATTCCTATTCTTTCATCTGCTTCCATAGGTATGCATGAGTTCCAGCTCTCAGGGATCTACAATTCTGACAAAGCATTTGCAACAGAGTGAAGTTATCACTGGCATCTCAGTTGGGAAAGATTCCTACAGAACTGGGATTTTTTTTATTTTGTGGAGGATAGCATGAAAAAAATAATGAGTGTCAGCAAAAAACTTACCTGGCAGTTTCCCCCATCCCAACACAAACTGGTCATATTGTTTACACAAGGTAAATTTGTTTTCACTGAAAACAACACAGTGAGCATTACTAATCCTATCACTTCCTACACTGCAACAGCTGCCAGGTAGTTTGCAAATCTTGTAATTAGTAACAAAATCATTTATGAACTTAACTTTTGTTTTTATTTATCCTACAGGAAATTCTGACATGATAATTCTGTAACTCAGTTTTTCTTTACTGAATATCATAAAAAGCAACTTTTTCCAGCTGGCTGATTTTCTAAAGTGAATGAATGCTAAGAAATGTCAAGCATCTTTCTCAGCTGCAGTCAAATTGGATTTGTTTTTCAGCTCCCCCTTCCCTCCCCTCCACCCTTTATTTTAAAAAAAAACAAAACTGTCTCAATCACATAAAACCCAAGACTAATTTCTAAATTCTGCAGCAGTACAGGTGCAAAAGACTGGCACTGTTTACATGCTTTGATAGAATCCTGCTAAGCAATGTCAACAATAGCCTACTGTAATTATACTCAGATAACGTATATTTCTGATTTTTTTTTTAGTTAATGAAAATTGTAACTGTTCCAGCTGTAGTCATTATTTATCACAGCCAGAGCATGTTCTTTCTCACTGTTTACTTATTCTTTTCTTTGAATTTTGCTGATTACGTTTTTAAAAGTTTCTATTCAGCTAAAATAAACAATAAAAAAATTAATAACCACTGTGTTTTTATACTTCTCCCATAGAAGAAGGCATACAGTGTACACAGCCAACTCCATTGATTCAGAGGGCAGCCAAAAGTCTTCTTTCAGGCTGAGCTCAATTCATGGAGGAATCGATGAGCATCTCTCCATTAATGTTGACTGAGGCTGGCTTGGATTCTGACCCCAAACATTATGGACTATACCTAGTACAAGGCTTGGAAGCCACACAAAAAGCTGCTTTCCTTTATTTATTATAGGCAATAAAGAACTCACAGTGTCACAATTTCTGTGTATGTTTCAGCAGATTATTCTGAGGTACAGAGTATTTCTCATAAACATGCATATTTTAGCCTTTACTATGTATAAGGAAGTTTAAACACAAGTAATTTAGAAAGCATTAATTCTACAGAAATTAGTACACCTTTATCCTGATTTTTTCATTTGTAATTATTTAACATAAATGTAATTAATTATGCAGAATTATGTGTCCTTCCCTACAAAACTGAGGAAGAATTGAGAATTGTTGGACCTACTTTTTATGAATCACATCAATCCTTTTGTAATTAGAGACCAAATTTCTCTAACATCATAATTAATAAGCATCCTATAAGCCCTCTATTTACATGTCCTAGGTGTTTTCTCCTTCTGACAGAGAAGCCTGGGTGTGCCACAACCTCCCTGTAAAAATGCAAGGTTTGTGAAAGCTTAAGACGTGGCCTCTTTTTGATGACGCCAAAGCACGTTAATTACCATCTCTTTCCAAGCTCCCTTTGTGTTTTTTTTTTTTTTTTCTTCAGATATTAAAAACTGTTCCTCCTACTTTTAGGGTGTATAACATTAATATTTAGAGTCCTGTATCTTTTATATCATATAGGCCTCAATCAGATTAATATTTATAATGTGTCTGACCCATTTCATGCCTGTGGAAAGCAAACAGAGAACCTGAGAATCTGATCAGTGCAGGGTAAGTGGCAGAACTCATCGCGCAGACTTGATATTGCTGCTTCAAATCCCAAACCAAGACAAAG